CGCCGAAGCGCTCATTGTACTTCTCGAAGTGCACCCGCTCCAGCACCAGGCCCAGCCCGGGCGCCTTGGGCACATCCACCCGGGCCTCACCCCAGCTGCGCTCCAGGATGCTCTCGGGGGCGTAGCCCTTGACGATGGCCACCACCAGCCCCACCATCTTCCGGATCTGGTGCGTCATGAAGCTCTGCCCCTTGACCTTGATGACCGCGAACTCCATGCCCTCGCGCACGAAGGGCTCCTCGCAGAAGATGTCCAGGATGTAGCGCCGGGCGCTGGGCTCACGGGGCCCCTTCTGCGAGGTGAAGTTGTGGAAGCTGTGGGTGCCCTTGTAGGCAGCCAGCAGCCTGTTAACGTGCTGCAGCGTCTCGGGGCTCAGACGGTACGTCTCGTCCTGGGGGTCGCGGTCCTTGTGGGCAAAGGCGAACGTGGGCAGCATGTACAGGTACGTCCTGGCGTCACACCTGTTCTTGGAGTTGAAGCCACCCGTGACCCTCTTCAGCCCTGGGGAGAGGAGTCGAGTAAGGAGTGGAGTCCAGCTCCTGGCCCCAGGAGCAACCAGTGTCAAGGCCACTCAGACCATGGCCACCGGCCCGGCGAGCACAGCTCCGGGTGGAGCTTCCACAGCTCCTATTGCCACCGCTGTGATGCCCAGGGCTGACCTCTGGCAGGCAAACACTGAGGCGGCCTGGAACAACACCCAGGTGTGCTGGAGGCTCTCCTGAGCAAGGGGGCGCCGCAGCCCCGCCCTGCCACCACCCAGACTGGCCCGGGCCTCTGGTTTTGAGTGAAGGTGAAAAGGCGTGGCGAGAACCATGCAGCGACCTCGTCTGAGACGCATCTGCGGACATGATGGCGGCATACCTACAGAAAGCACTGAAGAGCAGCTCACGCCCTGCGGTGTGGACAGCAGGGGGCGGGGCCCAGAGCTGGCCACAAAGGACCACCTCCTCCTGAGCGTGGCTTACCCAAGATCCGGATGTGAGCCGGGAGGTGCTTGTTGATCTTTTCTAGAATGTCGTCGATGAGCCACACCTTGAGGGATACCACCTGGCCAGCCGCAGACACCCCCTATGAGGAGAGCAGGACAAGCAGGTGGCAGCAGGAACCCGCAGCTGAAGGGAGGACCCGGTGCTCCCCAAGCCTCCTGGATGGGGACGAGGGCAGAGCATGCGCCTCTGACAGCTCCGAAACAGGAAGCCTGGACTGGGGCCATTCCACAGGCAGGAAAGAAAGGCCTCCCTGAGCACCATCAGGCACTGCTGGGCCTAAGCACTGAACTGTCCTGCCCAGAGTTGAGGACGACCAGAAGTGGCCCTCAGGTCCTCTGAGTACCATGTGGGTAACTAAATATCTCCTAAGAGAGAGAGAAAGTTTAAGGCACTTGCCCTGCACACAACCTGGCAGGCTACCGAATGTAGCCAGCCCACACGGCAGAGTATGGCGAACTCCCTGCGGCGTACCCAATATGCCAAATACCAGTAACAATGATGGGTCTCATTCTCCTAACCCTGAAAAAGCCTTGAATATGGCACTTTTTAAAATCTCAGGGCTAGGACGAAGGAGACGTTACTGGGGCCTGCTCGAGGCAATCGACGAACAACAGGATGATCGTGATCGGCCTGCACACAGTCAGTTCTATTGTTAGATCCTGGCACCCCACATGGTCTCCTGGGTCCTGCGAGAACTGATCCCTGTGCACAGGATCAGGAGTAAACCCTAGGCACTGTCAGACATGGCCCCCAAGCACACAAAAATGGACAAAAGGGTCTAAAATGAAACCAACTGTAAGATGTTCTACAAGCCGGGTGCCTGGGACCATGGCACCCTCCCACACGGCAGCCCATCTGTGTTTGAGTCCCATGGCAGGGCCCCAACTGCAGACCCTATGACCCCAACCTGCTTCCTGCCCATTCCTCAGGCAACCTTGGCGCCTGAACCGGACACGCTCCCGGACTGGATTATGAGGACAGAGAACGCAGTGCGCACCCGACTCTGGCTGGGGGCACCCGTGAGAGCCACTGACCTTGTCGGTGCGGGCACAGCGCTGGAAGGACATCTTCTTCATGTCCTGGCCATGGTTCTCCGGGATGCAGCCCGACTGCACCAGCGCGGACACCAGGTCATCTTCGATGGTCTTGAACTGGGAGGAGCCCACGTTCCTCTGAGGAAGAGAGAAAGCAAAAGCTCTCCAGACTACAGGACAGACCCACCCGTGGGGGTGGGGGACCTGCAGAGACCACAGCGGGAGAGAGAGGACACAGTTGACGGGCAGTGGACAGTCACTGGACAGCAAGCCCAACACCCACAAGCATCAGTAACGCCGCCCACAGTCCCATCACACTCCCTTATGGTCTCATGGTCCCCTTACACCACGGGACCCAACCAGAGACAACAGAAGAGGCAGGGTGTTTGCCTTGCAGGGGCCAGCCCACTATCACCTCCAGCACAGTCACTCCCAAGCAGAGCCAGTTACGACCTTAACCCCCACCCCCTTCCCAAAAACACCAAAGCAACAAGCAAGAGTGTGCGGGGAGCAGAGCTCAACGGGTGGGACACAGGCTTTGCACACAGGAGATCCCGTTCAATCTCCAGCACCACGCCGGTCCCCTGGGCAACTCAAAGGAACGACCCCCAAGCACAGAGCCTGGAGGAGCCCAAAACCAAACAGACAAACCAGAACCCCTCAAGCACCCGGGGAAAGACGAGCAGGGGTGAGGCACAAGCTCACCTTCAGCCGCGGCCCAACTTCCCCTCCCATGTGCAGTGCCGGGCATGGGACCCAGAGCTCCCATCTGCGTGGGCCGGGCACCGACCTGTGGGCGCATCCCGAAGCCCCGCACGTCCCGCGCGCGCTCACCTGCATGCCGTGGTAGCCCTTGCCCGAGTAGGCCATGAGCAGCACGATCTTGCGCTTGGGCAGCTTCGGGGCCTGCTCGCCGCCGCTCCGGGGCCTCTTGGCCTGCGGCTGCGGCTCTTCCCAGGTCCGCGCGGCGCGGCCGGCCATGAGCGGCGCCCTGCAAGAGAGCGCGGGAGTGGACGTGGCTCCGCGCGCGCCCGCTAGGGCCGCGAACACCGCGCGCACGGCGGGCACTCGCATGCGCGACCCCACGCCCCGCGGCGCGCCGGGGACCCCCCACTCACGGGGCGGACGAAAGCACCGGCGGGAGGCGGAAGTGCGGCGGCGCGACGGTGGCCGAGCGCGAACAAAACACCCCGCGCGCCGGGGGAGGGGCGGGGCCTGCCGCCGCGCCGCCGCCGGGCCGCACCGCGCAGGCGCGGCTTCTGGCTCGCGTCCCGGGGCTGCACGCGCGCGCCGTCGCTAGCCGCGTAGTGTGTCAACAGTCATCCCGCCCCCGCCGCGCGGGACGTGCGGACCGGCAGGCGCGCGAGGCAGAGGGTAGCCTGTGGCCCGAGGTCACCCGGCCGCTGGCTGTCGCGTCCACTGCTCGGCCCCGCGGGATGGGGATAGGGATGCAGGGACCTGCCCGTCGTCCGGGGACCGCGCGATTGTCCCCGGAAGACCGGCAGGCCCCACAGTACTGTCCGTGCGCGGGAGGAGGCTGCGACCCTCTCCCAAGTCTCTGTTATTGACCGGTCAGTCAGTGGTGACCGGACGAGTGCCCTCACCCACCAGATAATGACAGAGCAGCGTCTGCAGGGGCTGCGTGTCTGGAACCACTTGGCCCCCAGCACCGCTGGGGAGCGACCCTGCACAGGCGTGACCCAAATACCAAAGAAAGCCCGGCCAAGCCAGTGCTAGGAGCGGGGAGGAGAGGAGAGGCCGCCTCACTCGGGCCACCTCCACTACCACAGGACTCTTGCTCTCGAGGAGTCAGTCACCTGCTGTCTGCCCTCTGCCGCAGGTTGGACTTGGGGTCCTGGAGGCGAACTGGAGGAGCACAGCCCTCGGAACGCATGGGGGGGGGGGAAGAACCGAGCCCCACGAACGGGCACTGATGCTGCGAGTCTGTCCTACCTGTGCCCAGTGGCTTCCGTGAGACCCTCACAGCCTTCCTCGGACCTGTCCCACAGCCGCTGAGGGACCCCGCATTTGGGTGCGCTGGGTTCCGCGTTGGGAGTCAAGTGCAAGGCTACCCAACAAAAGGCTGGCATCTTTGGAGGTCAACCAACCAGATACATGACCCCATAATTGCAGATAAATGTTCCCCTTGGACTTTGATGCTATCCTTTTCTGCCATTCCTGCTGCTTTTAACTCAAAAAAGGAGTGGAATTGGGAGAGGGGGCACACACCCACGAGAGCTCAAGCTACTGCTGGCTCTGAGATTTAGGGCTCAATCCTGGCAGAAGCTTGAACCTGGGTCAGCAGCAAACAGGACCCTTTCTTTGTACTATTTCTGTGGCCCTAAAACAGTCCAATTATTGAAAACACAAACCCTATCACATAATCAAAAAACCACAGCCAGTGACAGCACAGAGGTAAGATACTTGCCTTGCACACAGCTGACCTGGGTCCAATTCCCCAGTACTGCATAGGGCCCCCAAGCACAGCCAGTGATTTTGAGCAGAGCCAGGAGTAAGCCCTTGAGCACTGAGTGTGATCCAAAAGCAAAGTAGGAAACACACAAATAATTGGTCCAACAATTTGAACATAGAAATGCCCAAGCCTTAAGGGAGAAGATGCTAGGGTTCACCAGGGAAGCCCAGACACAATATAGGCACCAGGGGGACAGACCACCAGTCCTTGGCACTTGGCACGGTGGGGACAGGCACCGCACAACCTGTGCTGGTTCCTATTCGGCCCATATCCAGCCTGAAGTACACCCCAAGGTGATGGCAAGCACCAACCCCCCCCCGCCCCACCCCCACACACCCCGAAGGCTCTGGGTTAACCAGCAACCTTGGCACGTGCACGCACGTACACACGCGCACACACACCATAACAAGCTCTGGTCTTGCCTAAGCTGGGCCCAGGAAGGTCTTGTGCCCTCAGGACATGGCCTGCTTCACCAGCTGGTGACTGCCCGAGTGAGAACACCACTGACAACTCAGAAGTTTATTTCCGTAAATGGGTATTACACAATTCAACGCAAAAGGGGGAGGAAATCACACAAATTCCTTTCAACACAGACATGAGGGCCCAGGCCCGGCCCTGCCCCCCTGCAGTGCCCAGCCCTGGAATCCAGTTGCTGTAAAGCAATTAATACGACCCCAATCTGCAGCCAGAACAGTCACCGGGCCCAAAAGGCATGTCCCCAGTTTTCTTCCAGCACTGCAAGTGTTGAGGTGTTGCAAACAAACACAGACTGCCCATCTGTGCCGAGAGCCGGGCTCCACGGGCATCTTCTGCACTCTGCAGGGCCATCCGGATGGGCCGAGGAGGCCCCTCAACCTGACTGGCCCCACCATGGCAGCCAGGAGGGCTCAGATGCAGGGAGAGTGGGTGCGAGGTCTCTGGGCCACGCTCCCCGCGCTGCCAGGGTGTTGCCTCCTGAGCCTGCTCTGCTAGCTGTGCAAGACAAAGCCTGACCATGGGCTCCTTTCTAACGTGAGGAGCTGCAGAGAATTAAGACACATCTGAGGAGTAGAGTGTGAGGGACGCCTGTCCCGGGCTGGGGAGCTGCTGCTTCACACAGACTGTCCCAGAGACACCAGAGCCACTGTGTCTGGCGCTCCCAGGCTCTGGCACGCATCCCTAGGATATGGCATGTACACGCAGAGGCAGCCGCTGGCCTGGCGAAAGCCAGTCAAGTCTGCCTGGTAAAGTGCTCGGTGATTCACAAAGCTGGGCGGGTGGGTAGTGTGGGGAAGGAGGGGCCTTTTCCGGGGTGGACCCTGGGCAGGCCTGCGGCTTTGGCTTGAGAAGGCAGCGCTGTCCCAGGGCCCTGTGTGTCCTGGGAGCGGGGCCTGCAGGGCTGGGGAACACCCAGGTGAGCTCACCTACCATGGGAGGTGGCCTGGGGTGCAGTCCTGTGCAAGCCCCCCCAATACCCTGAAGTCCCACTGGCAGAGCCGGGGTCCTTGCCCATCAGCAGAGCTGGTCCTCTGGGCAGTACCCATGCTTCAGGCTTGTCACTTGGAGTCCACCAGCGTGCTGAGCCCACTTCAAGAGCTGGGCACAGGGTCCAAGCCTCCGGGTCAAGCACAGAGGCCAGTCAGTAGGGCCGAGAGTCTCCGCTCAATGCACACCTTGCCTATAGGGGGAAGGCTTGGTCAGTGGGCGCGCACAGGGCACGTCTCACACTCGGCAACATCCCTGCATCAACCCTGGTATGCCCGTATTCCCACACGCCCTCCCCACTCACACTTAGCAATGTTCTCCACATCTGCCTGGTCGCTGAGGATGTGCTGCAGCCCCTCCATGAGCAGCAGGGCCTTGTGGTAGCGCTGGACACAGTCTTCCCGGCGATGGAACATCTCGTCCAGGGCAGCGGACTGCACCTGCAGGGATGAGAGGAAGCTGGCCAGTCCCTAACGGGTCCGCACCACGCACGCGCCGGCACCTGCCTGCACCCCCAAGCCCGACCATCCCCGCACCGTCTGCACAGCGTGGCTGAAGATGAGCTTCTCGGCACTGACGCTCTGGATGCGGTCCAGCAGCCGCTGCTTGTCCAAGAAGAAGCGCTGCAGCCGCAGGCTCAGGCCTTGGCAGGACACCACGCTCGCCTTATACAGCTCGTTCAGCTTCCGCACCACTGCAGGGGGAGCCTGAAGTTCAGGGCACCGGCCTGGCCCCCGCGGCCTCCCCTCTATGCCGTCCTCCCAACCCCGCCGGCATCGCTCACCCTGCTTCACGGTGGACGACAAGCAGAGCTTGCCGGCGCGGATCTGCTCGATGGCCGTGTGCAGGCCCACGGAGAGGAGCTCGGCCACCTTCAAGTACAGCACCAGCTGCTCCGCAAAGCTGCGGGCAGCGGCATGTCAGGGAGCTGGGGCAACAGGGAGCCGGGGCCCATCCCGTCCCTACTGGCCAGCACCTACCCCCACTCGCGGCTCAGCAGGCTGATCTGGTCAGCTACCGCACTCTCCTGCAGCTCCTCGGGACCCCCAGCAGCCTCGCCGGCATTGCCCTTCAAGGCCGCGATCTCCAGGACGTGTTGCACGAAGACGAGGGTGAAGCGCAGCCGGTGCAGGATCTCCGTGTGCTCTTGCTGGGGGAGCAGGAAGCACGTGAGCAGGGGACAGTGCCGGACCCTCGATCCAGCCCGGTCTGCTCCCAAGAAGCCTCACCTCCATGAGGGTCTCCTCGGGGAGGTCGGGGGCCTCAAAAGTCACAGCCCCCTCCAGGTTGGCGGTGACGGGGTCGGCATAGCTGCAGCAGTGACCGGGGCCCTCAGCAGGGGCCTCGCTGCAGGCACCAGGGGCCAGGTGACGGGCAGAGGCGGAGCCGGCTGAGCTGAGGGAGCTGGAGGAGCCCACTGCAGGGGGCCGAGAGGGGAGGTGTGTCCCAGACACGCTGGTGAGGCAGTGTCCTGTGTCCTTCACAGCTGTTCCCCACCCTGACCACCTCGGCCAACACCCAGGCCCCACTCAACCCCCAGGCCCTGCAGCTGGCACTTCAGGGCCCCAAAGGGTAGCACACTCAGCGCCCCAGGCCTCGTGGGCAGCCACTGGGCCTTGGAGGCCTCACCTGAGAACATCCTGGAGCGGGGGCCAGGGGGCGGCGTGGTCCCGCTGGGTGGGGACCCCACCGTGAAGACCACAGGTGAGGGGCTGGCGCCTGCACGAGCAGCTCCCGGGTACAGGCTCCCTCCGAAGCCAGCAGAGGGTGCTGGGGGGCAAGATAAGATATGGGCTTCAGAGCCTGTGGTCACAGTTCCCCACCCCCAGCCCCCCAGCCCAGCCTTCCCGCACCGATCTCCATGGGCTTCTCCTGCAGGCTGTCCGTGCTACCCGAGTCAGGGGCCTGCGCCCCAAATGCAGCCTTCAGGAGCAGGTCGGTGAGGCGGCCGGTGCTAAGGGACCTGCAGACAAGGAAGTCACTGAGCACCCAGAGCCGAGATCTGGCCAAGGGCAAGGACCCTGCTCGTGGCTGCCCACGCTCTGACCCCACGCACCTGCCAAAAGGGCCCTTGGTGTCTTCAGGGGGGCGCAGGCCGGAACCCAGTTGTGGGCCCTGGAAGGGAGCAGCCTCTGAGAGGTCGGGCAGCGTGCGGTTCCGGGGTGGGGCCACCACCACGCCCTGGCGCGCCAGGAGGGCCAGCAGGTTCTGGGAGCTGGGGGTCTTCGGAAAGTCAAAGGCAGGCACAGCCTAGGAAGGGCGGGCAGCGCTGGGTCAGGTGCCAGGTCCATGGCCCTGACAGGTTGGCCAGTGGGAGTCCACGTGGTCAGAGGGCCTGACCTCCAGCACTTGGTGCTGAAGGCCGTGCCACTGCATCAGGGGTCCCAACCCCCCACAGACCCTCTGGACCATCCCCAAAGTGCCCCTTGTCCCACAAGCATCTGTGCGGGTAGGCCGTGTGCAGGGGCCATACCTTAGTGGGGGAGCCCATGATGGGGGGCAGGGGGTTCCGCTGCAGGAAGTCAGGCAGCTTGGGTGAGCCGCGCAGGGGCCGACAGGAAGGCAGTCCGTGAGATGGCTGGGGTGGGCTGGCCTGCGGGGGGCTGAATGCTACCCCCAGTGAGTCGGTGGGAGGCTTGGGTAGCTTGGGGCGGACGACGTGCAGGTCAGTCAGATTGGGGGCGCTGTGCAGACGGCAGCCCAGCCCAGTGGTGCGGGGTGAGTGCTCAGGTGCAGAGGAGCCTGCAAGAACGGGCTGGTCACTGCTGTTCAGGGCTGCGTACCCCTGCCCGCTGACCCCAACCTACCTGCCCGTGGAGACCTGCCAGCCCGATCGGCTGTGTGTGAGGTGGGGGCCTCGCTCCAGCCTGGCTGCTCTGGGATAGTCCCCACTGGGGAAAGGGACCTGAGTCAGAGCCTGGGCAGGGTCCCCTCGCCACAGGAGATGCCCTCCCTTGGAACAGACTCACCTTGTGGGGATGGCGTGTAGGGCCGGCCACCACCCAGAGACAACTTCCGGGTGATAGCAGCTCCGTGCTCAATATGGGCTGGAGGAGACGGGCTGGCCCGAGCGAAGCCCAGGGGGCTGCTGCTGCCTGACCGGCGGATGGCAGAGGACCTAAGGACAGGCCAGTAGAGGTCACGGCACCCACTGAGGAGGGCCATCTGCCCCCAGCCATGGTGCCCATCAGTCTCCCAGGGCAGGCAATGACGCAGGTGAACTCACCGGGGAGGCTGATAGTGGGGAGGAGACTGCAGGTTCTGCTCGATGCGCTGGTAGTTCTGCACCTGGGTGGGCACTGGGATGGGCACAGAGGCACCACACCGACTGCTGCAGAACGGGCCAGCCCGGCTGTGGGGAAGGGGAGGAGCCTGGATATGGGTCCAGTGGAGCCCAGCCACACAGCCCAGGCAAGAGTGGGGCTGGCTACTCCATTCCACCTCAAACCCTGTCCCCGCCACGGGCTCCTACTCAAGACCAGCCATGGAAACACACAGTACATGCAAGGGGCGGGGGGGAGGGAGGGGCGGTGGACGGGACATGAACAGAGACACCTGGAGGGAAGCCTACTCGCCCGCCTGCTCTGCTCACCCGGAGGGGCTGGGGGAGCTGCTGCATGGAGGGGAAGGAGATGGTGTCCGGCCACGGCTCTCCAGACCAGCTGAGGCCACCAGTGAGCTTCTGGGGAGAAAGAACAGGCGGACAGGAGGGCAGGCGGGGTCAGGCGGGGTCAGGCCCTCCAGCTATAGGGCAAGCTGAATTCCCTGGCCCTGAGCAGTGCCACAGCCAACCCCCACAGGGCCTTACCCGCTGCACATCAGGCTGTCTGGCGGCACCTTGGCCCCGGCCACCTCAGCAACCAAGTCACCTGCAGACAGGGAACAGGAAAGCTGGCCCGAACGCCTCTTATTTTTGCCACGGGGATACCCGCCACTGCAGCTGATAGCAACCCTTAATCTCAAGAGACCCCAAGTACCCGTCCTACGACTTCCGGGAACCGCATTTTTTTTTTGGCTTTTTGGGTCACACCCGGCGATGCACAGGGGTTACTCCTGGCTCTGCATTCAGGAATTACTCCTGGCGGTGCTCAGGGGACCATATGGGGTACTGGGAATCAAACCTGGGTCAGCCACGTGCAAGGCAAACGCCCTACCCGCTGTGCTATCTATCACTCCAGCCCCTTCAGGGAACCTTCTAATGGGACCTGAGTCTGCTGGTCCCTCCTTGGCTCTGTGTGACCCACCTGCTCCCCAAAGTGGCAGTGGCCAAGACCACGAGGAGCCAGGGAATCCATCTGCACCCCAACCCGAAGGGAGGGGCCTGTGGGTGCTGACCTGCAAACTGGGCTGGGACCATGACAAAGTCGTCCGTGTCACAGGAAGAGGCTTTGCTGCTGCCACCCGAGTCACGGGAGCCGTGCAGGAAGCCAGCAGCCTCTGCTGGGGATGTGAGTGTCTTCTGCAGCTGCTGCGCCTCCCCAAGGGACTGCAGCCAGAAAGGGGCTCTGCTCAGACCACCTTCCCTAGACCCCAAGTCTCCACCTTTCTGGGGGCCCACATTCCCCAGCCACCCCAGTGCTCCCCACTCCCCATGGCCTGATCTCAGTGGGGATGTGAGGATGAGGCTGCCCTACTGCCCTGAGTGGCCTGAGAGGCATCAGACACTGCAACAAGTCATAACACCGGAGGATGGTGCAGATGGTGTGGGCACAGAGAGAAGAGTCTGTGACTATCTTGGCTCCAGGCCTCAGAAGCAGATGCCTTCTTTCTGCACCCCATGGTCCCATGAGGTCAGGGGTCCAAGCAGGTTCCCCTCAACCCACGGTCCCAGGAGAGCAACTCACTGGAGGCGAGGCCAGGTGTGACGTGGAACTGCTGCTGGAGCTGCTGCCGGAGCCCGAGCTCGGGTAGGACGGTACAGGCACTGGTGGGGCTGCAGGCAGGCCAGGGTGAAGTCCAAGTGTGTGCCCGTGCCAGGGACGACCCACACCCCCCAACCCCCGGCAACCCCAGGGCTTACACTTCTTCACAGCAGCACTGGCATCCAGGAAGGGGTGGTGGAAAAACTCATCTGCGGGAGGAAGCAGGGAAGGCAAGAGAGGTTGGCATCCCGGGGAAGGTTGGTCACCAGCAGAGGTGCTGCTGGGGAATGGCTGTGGCAGGGGCTGGGCCAGGGCTGCCCACACGCACCGAAATCCATGCGGTCTCGGTGGTTGCGCTGCAGCAGGGCCAGGAGCAGTTGCCTCAGCGGGGCGGACGTCTCCCGGGGGATGCTAGGGGCACAGGCACAATGACCAGGTCAACAGCTGCCTGGCGGGGGGCGGGGGGGAGTCGGGGCTAAGGGATAGGACAGGGCCAGTAGGGACCACTCACACAGGGACCAGCGTCTTGTTCTTCTCGTAGAACAGGCGTAGATCCTGAGGGCTGCTGGCCTGCTGGGGACAATGCCATCAGGCGCCTGCTGGCCTAATCCTGACCACCAGTTGAGGCGCACGGGCCCATCCCACCTTGGCCCTCCCATGCCTTCAACCCCTGGGCCAGTCCCTCCTCCCCACTTCCAGGGGACGGCGCCAAGAGAGCTGCACAAGGTGGCCAGAAGGACCGTGGAACCAGAGACATGGCGGCCTCTCTCCCCACAGCTCTGTTGGCTGGAGCACTGGGGCTTCAGATGCAAAACAGTGCTCTGCCTCTGAAAGGAGAAACCCAGGAGCCAAAGAGATGCTCAGTATGAGAACACGTGCAGGAGCCTTGACCTAGCCCTCTCACCGCGGGGAATGACGGCACCCCTCCATCCCCAAAAAGTGAAGACCAGGGCCAGAGAGTGGGCCCTGGGGGTTGAACATGTGCATCCATACGAGACACTCAGCTCAGGCTCACTCCTCAAGCCCAAGTTCTCCCTTAAACACGCATCTCGCTTCCCTGTGTGTCTCTTTGCTCGCTTATTTCCACTCTGGAGAAGCCCGTGTTCTGTCAAACAGGAGCTTCTCCCTCTCCTCTCACAACTTCCTCAAGTTTTAATACAAGCTATCTTGTTTCACAAAAGAGGAGGGGTGGGGGGACCACCCAGCCCACACCCCACTCAGTCCCAGAACAGGCTTGTCCTTATGCTGCCCACTGTGTCCCTGAGGAGTACCCAGAGGCGACCTAACTAGCTGCTCTGCACCTACCCCCACAGCACCCTGCCTGTGCAAAACACAACACAGTCACAGGTGGGCACACCTGCAGACTGGGCACAGAGCCAGAACCCTCCACTGTGTCCTAACTATGGGCTGTACTCCAGAGCTCAGAGTCCTGACAGTCCAGTATGGGTCACACAGCAATGGGTGGGGCTGGAGAAAGGCTGAGTTCCAGCACACAGGAAAGAACCGTCTCACTCACCTGAAAGGGTGCCTTTCCCGTCAGGCACTGGTACACGATGGTGCCAATGCTCCAAAGGTCTGCTTTCCCATCATAGTGCTGGGACATGATGACCTCGGGAGCCTAAGGGACATCAGAGATACAGGTCTGAAACAGCCACATACCACCCATGTCTGCACTGCAATCAGCCCAGCATCCAGCTAGTAGCCAATCAAAACACAAAGCGGGGATGGCATTTGCCTTGCATTGACTGACACTGGTTCAATCCTCAGCAATCCATAAGGTCCCCCAAGCAATGCCAGCAGTAATTCCTGAGTGCAAAGCCAGAAGTAACCCCTAAGCATCACTTACCCAAAAACAAAAATAAAACAAACTAACAACTGAAACACACACTGGCCAGGCCCTGCCAATAAGAGCACTAGCCTGTCAGCTAGCTACCAACCAATCAGAACATACACTTGCCAGGCCCTGCCAATCAGGACATAGGCTTGCAGCTACCAGCCATTCAGAACACACAGCTGCTAGGCCCCTGCCAGCCAGAAAAGTGCCCAGCCAGGCGTCACCCAGTCCACAAGGATATGAACAGAACCAAGGACACGGCCACGAGGCCCATACCTACCATGTACATGGGGGACCCGCAGAGCGTGGCCGCCATCATGTTGCTCTGCAGGTAGCGGGCAAAGCCAAAATCAGCTGCGATGCAAGAGGGAGAAGGTGAGAGGAGGCACCTCCTCCTGCGCCCAGACCCGAGCCCACCCAAGTCAAGCCTCCTGCTGGCCCCACCGATCTTGACGCGGATGTTGTTGGGGTTGGCACGGCGGCCCCCGGGGTTGGACAGCAGGATGTTCTGGGGCTTCAGGTCGCGGTGGATGATGCCTTTGCTGTGCAGCAGCCGCATGGCACCCGCAATCTGCTGCAGGAAGAGCCTGATGGTGTCCTCGCTCAATGTGCGCATGGCTGTAGGGAGATGAGCTCAGGAGACGCCCCGGCCCGGCCCACATCCCCCTCAGCACTGTCCCACTCCTCCGCAGGCAACCCTTCCCCCACCCCATCCCAAATCTTCCCAGTAGGGCCACAGGGCTACCCACTGTAAGTATCTGTAGCCACTCACTGTGCAGGTAGTCAGCCAGGTCCCCGCCGTTACAGTACTGCAGAGAACCAGTGCAGAGTTGTCAGCAGTAGGAGAATCCCCACCACCACCCGGCACCATGCGCTCCCGGTCCCAGGAGGCCCCTCTGAATGGCTCGGCAAGGGTAAAGGGCCTGGTGGGACTCACCTCCATAACCAGGTAGACAGAATTGGCCATTTCCTGCGGGACACAGAAGAAGCATTGACTGTGTAGGACCTTCTGCCTCCAATTTGTTTCTGGGTTTCTGTCTGTTCTTTTTAATAGTTTTTAGGCCACACCCAGCGGAGATCATGGACCACTCATAGCAGACTTGGGGGACCATATGGGGTGCCAGGGTTCAAAACCAAGTCAGCCATGGGCATGGCAAATGCCTTACCCGCGAGACCATTGCTCCAACCCTATTGTCTGTTTTGTTTTTTTGTTTTTAAGTCACACCCAGTCCAGGGTACCATGCAGCACCAGGAATTCACCTTGGTCCCCCACATGCAAAGGACCCCATTCTGAGATTTGGCTCAACAGCAAGGGGGCCTCATGAGGTTTCTGTAGGTTTTGTGGGGGTCTGAGACCCCAACCTAACAGCTGCTTATGCTGCTGGGCAGGGCAGTGCGCAGCAAGAACGGACATAGGCCCTGGAAGACCATGTCGCAGTCAGCAAGCCAGCAGGTCCCGACCACCACTCCCTCTGCAGCCCCAGATTCTTCTGACCTGAAAGGGCATCTCTCTGCTCACCAGGAGCAGGTACCCCAAATGCACCAGGGAGTCCTCAAAGAGGTCATGAATGGGAGAACAACCTGTGCCACCCCACCTGCCTTTCATGGAGTGCCCCCATCCCCAACAGAACCACCTCAGAGGTGGTCTCCGAGTCCACCCGCCTGAGTTCCATCAGAGTACAGAGCAGCCTCACCCTGCCTGCACCCAGCTGCCTGTTCTGGCACAGCTGCACAGAACAGATAGCAGGTTCCTGCAGGCCCACAGGGAAGCACTGTCCATTGGGCAGGGTCTCAGGGACAGTATGACCTGCCCTGCCTACACCCAGCTGCCTGTACAAAGAGCTGAGGTCTTAAAAGAATCAGACACAAGAGAGAAATAATGGGGTGAGAGCGGTAGTACAGCCGGTGGTGCACTTGCTTTGCACGCAGCAGACCCAAGTTTGATCCCCACACCCCATGTGATTCCCTGAACTAGGAGGAATTCCTGACTGTAGAGCCAGAGTTAAGACCTGAGCATCGCTGGACTGGTGTGGCCCCAAAACAAAACAAAACTAAAACATGTAGCGCTGACAACCTGCATCTTATATAAAGTTCCAGAGGACAGATATAAGAGTCAACCACCGCTTGTCAGGCACTTCCCACAACTGCCAAGGCCCTTGGACTAGTCACGGTCAACATCAAGAGGTACAGGTCCTGGGCAGGTGGGGAAGCTCCCCGATGCCCATCTCCAATAGTCGGGGGGTACGGCCGAAGCAGGGGGAAGATGGAGTATGTGCTATTCCCACTGGATATACAGCCAGAGCAAGATGGACTTCAATGCAAGAATGCCATCCAGATGTGGTAACTTGGGGCTGGAGCAATAGCACAGCGGGCCGAGCGTTTGCCTTGCATGCGGCCGACCCGGATTAGATTCCCAGCATCCCATATGGTCCCCCAAGCACCGCCAGGAGTGATTCCTGAGTGCAGAGCCAAGAGTAACCCCTGAGCATCGGCTGGGTGTGACCCAAAAAGAAAAAAAAAAAACACAACCAGATGTGGTGACTTGAGGAGCAGGGAGCAGGAGCAGCCTAGGTGGGTACCATCCAACATGGTCATAAATCCCTTCCTGCAGGCAGGCCTGAGCTCTGCCCTCAGAAGCAACCAGATGGCCTCCGTGACCACCAAGGTGATACTTGGGGGGGAGGGGGGACACTGCCACCCATCCCAGGCCATTCTAGTTAGGTAGGGGAAGCCACAGTGCAGAACGCAGATGGGCACAAGGTTACCAGCTGTTCCTCACATTTCCACCCTCCCAGGCAGGGCAGTGGAAGCTTCTCCTCCACTCACAGGCTCCACAAGGTCTCTGGAGGAGAGGAGGGCACAGGCACCAGAGTGCAAGACTGAGGCAACCAAGTGCACGACGTGGACTGCATAGAGAGAACTGTGCTGCTGGACCACCTACCACTGCAACCACACACCCACCCAGGCACCCCAGACCCACTCCTGTCTGAAAACAAAATGGTGGGTACCATTTCCACTGACAAGACCACATGGGTGAAAACTGCAGGGACGCTCAAGAGGCCACAGTCAGATGGCTACGCACAGCCCCTTGACCTCAGTTCCTTACCAGGGAAGGGAGCAGAAACATGGCCACACTGGGGCTGTCGCAGGACAGCAGGGGACGCCAACGTGGGGGCCCTACATCCTAATGCTTCCCTGGCCACTTTCACAAAAACACTGAGGAGGCTGAGAAGGTAAGACACTTGTCCCCAATGGTCCTGTCTGAGTGTAGATTCTGAGGGACTAAGCCGGCTTAATTCCCAGAGGGGTGAGTCCCTTGCAAACACAGACCAGGAGAGTGAAGGACAGTGAAAACACAATAACACATAACTTTATCCAAGACACAGACATGAGCAAAAGGCTGCGGTGAGGGTCTGTGAATGGGCACGGAGTGTCCAGAGGGCCCAGCCTGTCCCCAGAGTCAGCCCCTACCAGGTCCAGGTCCAAGGGGTGGTGTTGGGGTCAGGTTGCCCCTTTGTCTTTGGGCAACACATCCCCACTTCTGAGTTGCTCCTCCTGGGTGCCAGCCTGGGGAGCGAACACAGCCGGTGGCCCTGTCACACCAGGTATGCGGCCAACAGAGGGGGGAGGGCAGTGAGTACAGGCAACATAGGCTTCCCAGGGACACTGCAGCTCCAGCGGGCTCCAGGTGTGCCACCCTAGACCCGGGCCCGCCCCATGTCACCTCCTGTCACTGCAGGAGGCGTGGCCAGGAGCTTCCCCCTCAGCCAAGGTAAACAGCTTTCAAAACCATTAGTCAGCACTCAAGGACCTGCCGCCGGTCCAGTCCCCACACCAGGCGTACGCGGCACCACCAGAGATTGGTGAGGGCCACGGGCAGGAAAAAAGAGCGGGCAGGAAAAAGCGCGGTACTTCAGGGAAGGAAGCGGCTCCAGCCTTCAACGGGGAGGGGGGCAGTCAGGCTCACGGTGGCGGGAGGCTGGGACGGCCCCAGCAAGAAGACGACTCGCCCCTCCCTCCCATGACGCAAAAGCTGGTAGCCAATGCCAGGGCCCGAGCAGTGTCAACAAACAGGCGCAGCCCAGACAGGTGGGCCGGCGCCCTCCCCAGGCTGCGCTGGGACAGGACTTGAGGTCAGGGCCACTGGGTCAGATACCCCCAGAGTGCCAGGCTAGAGCCAACCTCTTGGCCAGGAGACCGTGACCTGTGGCCCTGCACCCCTTCTGCAGTTAAGCAGAGCAAGGCAGATGGGTTCCCTGGAAGTGGGACCCCCTGAGCCTGGTTTCCAGCACCCAGCCTACCCAAACCTCCCGCGCCAGCCCCCATGTACCTGGAAGTCGTAGAGAGCCACAATGTTCTCATGTTTCAGTTCCTAGGACAGAAACGCAGGCGCCCGTGAGCGTGAGCACGAGAGCCGGATCACAGCCGGCGCTCTGCTCTCCGCCACCAGCGCTCACCTTGAGGATTTTGATTTCCTTCCCCAGAAGCGTTTGGGACTTGGCAAGGTTCTTCTTGTTAATGCACTTGACGGCGACCTCCAGGTCATGCTTCTAGAAAGCAAGTGCAGCCGAGCTCAGGGGCTGGGAGCCGGCAGGCACCCCGGGGTGTCCCCCAAGCTGGCAGAGCATCTGGCGGCTCAGGAGGTGAGGGGGCCTGGAAATTAGAAGTTCCAGAGCCCAGGGGAAGGGTCAGGCTCCGTTCCTAGTGTGACTCCCTGGGAGGAGTCGGGTGAGGGGATCCCCCGGAGGACCCAAGTGAGGACCAGAGTGCGGGATTCAAGGCAAGAGCCCAGTAAGGATCGAAGGTGAGGCCTGCGGAAATCCCGGGGAGGAGGTCCACGAAGGACCCCAAAGGAGATTCTGGGAAGACCCCAGAGCAGAACCCTGGGAAGAGATCAGGGAGATCTGAGGAGGACCCTGGAGATCTGGGAAGGAGGTGAAAGGAAGACCCCAGCAGAGAGCCCGGGAGCAAGCCTCGGTGAGGAGACCCGGTGAGGGGACCCGGTGAGGACACCCATGGGGGGAGACCCGGTGAGGGGACCCGGTGAGGAGACCCGGAGGCAGCGCCGGGCCCGCGCCTCACCTCGCGGTGGCGCCCCTTGAAGACCACCGCGAAGGCGCCGTGGCCGATGAGGTCCTTGCGCGAGAACTCGAACTTGCCCACGGCCTCCAGGCCGCCGCGGGGCTCCATGGCGGGCTCAGGCGGGGCGCGGGGCCGACGGCCCGGGGCGCATGGCGGGGGCCCGGCTCGGCCCGGCCCGGTCCCGCCCGGCTCCGACCTCGGCTCCGGCCGGGCCTCGCTCGGCTGCCACCGATCCCGCTCGGCTGTGACCCGGCCCGGCTCGGCCCGCGCCGAGTTCCAGCTCCGGCCCGGCTCCACTCGGCCGCGATCCCGGCCCCGGCCGCGGTCCCGACCCGGGCTCCGGCTCCGATCACGACCCCGACCCCGGCCCGGCTCCGGCTCCGGCTCCGGCCCGGGCTCCGGCGGGGAAACAAAAGAGCGGCGGCCGCCGGGCCCCGGAGCCTGAGACGCCGGCGCACGCGCAGTGCGCACGGGGCGGGACCTGGAGACCGACGGGGCGGGGCCTGCGACCGGGCGGGAGGGGCGGGGCTGCGGTCGGAGGGGCGGGGCCTGAGGCCGGGGAGGCGGGGCCTCGTCATCCCGGGCCTGGCTGGGCAATCAGCCCCGTGACTCAAACCCCTCACTTAAGATTTTTATTTTGTTCCTTTGGTTTGGTTGAGGGGCCACACCCGCCGGCTCTGCATTCAGGAATTACTCCTGGTGGTGCTGGGGGACCATAGAGATGCCGGGACTAGAACCAGGGTCTGCCACATGCAAGAAAAGCATCCTATCTGCTCTGCTGTCCTTTGGGCTCTCATTTGCAAATTTGCCTGCTCTCTTGCACCATCTTTGCTCAATGAGGGTATTTGTTTCCACAAAAAACACTCCTGGGAGTTTGGTAGGGCAAGCCAGAGTAATGGCACAGAGGGTAGAGTGCTTGCCTTGCATGTAGGCTACGGGGTTTGATCCTTGGCCTCTCAAGCCTGCAGGAGTGATTCATGAATGCAGAGCCAGGAGTAAACCCCAGAACATTGCCAGGTGTGACCTCAAAACTAAACAACTACAACAAAACACACCAAGGCAGGGGGGAGGCTGGAGAGAGCATAGTGGCGAAGCCACAAGTAGTCCCCAGAGCCATTCAGGAGTGAGCCCTGAACACAACTGGGTGGCCCAAAATAACCAAAACAAACAAACAAACAAACAAACAGAACACTCCTGATCCCTGAGTTACCCCTGGCCAGACCATGACTAGTGCAGAGACCTTAGTCCTGACCTTGGTCTGAAAGCCTGGCTTAAGCAGCGGCACAGGGGTCTCAGCAGAGAGGTTGAGGTTTGCTCTCCCAATTTTAAGGGTGTCGTATGTGCTTTTCAAATAGTTAGAAACTAATTTTCACAAGAACTTAGCCCCCCTGGGCTGGAACAGCTAGGGGAGCCAGTGTGAGGGTGAACTTGAGGAATTTGTTACTCCGATATTTATAAGAAATGTCACAGGCAGAACCTTGGTCTTCCAGGACAAAATATTTTAGCATTTTGCATCTGTTCTACCTCAGAGAGTCATTTCCCCTGGGGTCAGCAAGCCCTACAAATTAGCATGCAGCTAACGGTTATATGGTCAATAGTAAACAGAAAGGTAGAGATAGTACAGCAACTAGGACATTTGCTGGCAGGAGGTTGGGTTCGATCCCCAGCACCCATATGTCCCTGATCACTGTAAGAAGTAATTCCTGAGTGCGGCACCAGGAGTAACCCCTGAGCATTGCTGGGTGTGGCCCGAAAAAACAAGTAAATAAAATAATGAACAGAAACTCTAGTATGGTGTAGGGGGAGGGGGGAACTCTTAGGGCAGGGTCTAAGAGTGGAAGATCATTTCTCTGCTTTTAAGAATTGTGGTCAAATAAATACACTCTAAAAATGGCCATCTCTGCTGTCCCTCCACCTGCTTCCCCTTGGTGGCTCGGTGGCTGCCATCCACCGGAGGCCACTGGTTTGGGCCTGTAGTGACGAAACACACGGGACCTCACAGTTGGGGATGGAGCCGGCCCTTTCCTCCCTGTCCCAACGAAACCCCGAGTTGCTGTCCCCTAGCAGCCTCTCCGGCTCATGATCAAGCTGCTTAATGGTCATGATCCAAGAGACTCAGAAACAAATCTCGGAACCCAGTGGCTTTTGGCAGAGATGTGTCCGGACCCCGCAGTATGTCACTGTTGCTGGACCATTCCAGGGAGGAAAGGGTGTTGTCCCTCCACCTGCTCCCCCTAGGTGGCTCCATGGCTGCCAACCTCCAAAGGCCATTGGACAGTCAGGTTTGGGCCCTCAGTTTTGAGACATGCGGGGCCTGACGGGATTGGGGTAGAGCTGGCCCTTTCCTCCCTGTCCCAACAAGACTCCGAGTCACCACCCACTAAAGGCCTTTCTGACTCCTGATCAAGCTGCTTAACGGCCATGATCCAAGAGACTCAGGAACAAATCTCGAAACCCAGCAGGTTATGGCAGAAATCCCTGCAGATTTAATTGTTCAAATTTCAGAATTTCAAAATCGCGTGGCCACTACTGCAGCCACGCAACATCATATGTTATTCATAACCAGCAATAGAAAACAAATTGTCTACTGTTGCCTTTTCAGCAGATCTGAGTGTTGGGGTAAAATCCCAAATAATATGGTGAGTCTGGTGTCAAAATATTGAATGTAAACAAAGTAGAGAGAGAGTAATGTGGAAATCATCTGCCCCACAGGTAGGCGGAAGGTGTGGGATGGGGGTATACTGGGGTTTTTGGGGGTGGAGAATGGGCACTGGTGAAAGTATGGGTGTTTCATTGTATGACCAAGACTTTGTAACTGCTCTCATGGTGATCCAATAAATAAAATTACAAAAAATGGGGGAAAAATGGCCATCGCAGGGACTGGAGTGATAGTACAGTGTGTAGGGCATTTGCCTTGCACACGGTCAACCCGGGTTCAATTCCCAGCATCCCATATGGTCCCCTGTGCACTGCCAGAGTAATTCCTGAGTGCAGATCCAGGAGTAACCCCTGTACATTGCCGGGTGTGACCTAAAAATTAAAAAATTTAAAAAAAATGGCCACCTCGAGCTGGAAGATCAATGGCCAGAATATAGGCTTTGTATGCAGAGACCTGGGTTCAATCACTGGCACTGCATGGTTCCCTGAGCACCACCAGGAGCCACCCCTGAGCTAGGTGTAGGCCCTAATCCCAGCACCACAGGGTGTAGCCCCAAGACAGAAAAACAGAGAACTTGCACCCTAGGCAAAGACGTGGCTCCAGGATGATGGCCTGCGTTGCTCTGCTCAGGGTCACCGGCACCTTAGAAAGCCAAGAGCTTGACATCCCTTCCCAGGTGGTGCAACTGGCCCCCCCCACCTACTCCTGTTTTCACCTTCCCAAACAGGAACTGTGTCCCCCTGTTAGTGGACACTAACAACCCCCAGCCCTTGGCTCCCCACCGACTTTTTTTTTTTGGCTTTTTGGGTCACACCTGGTGATGCACAGCACAGGGGTTCCTGGCTTTGCACTCAGGAATCACTCTTGGAGGTGCTCAGGGGACCATATGGGATGCTGGGAATCAAACCCAGCTTGATACAAGGCAAATGCCTACAAGGCAAACAACCTACGGGCTGTGCTATAGCTCCAGCCCCCCGACTGACTCTTTGAGTCTGTGAATCTGACATTTTATAGGGCTCCTGGGAGTGTCTATCCTCACGTGACAAATCTTCGACCCTTCCCATGGGCCAAAACATACTCCTTGCATGACAGGCTACCCTGATCATCCATTCATTCCCAATGACTTTGGGGTCATGACCCATCTTGTCTTGGCTACTGTGAGCTGGGAGGTGGGGAGGGGGAGCCTGTCTCCATGAGACCCTGCTCCAAACTATGAGGGTGTGAGTTGGGAAGTGGGGTTGCAGAGTCTATGGGGTTCCACTCTCAGAAGAAAGCCCAGTCTGGATGGAATTGCTCCTTCCTGTCTGTACACACACCCTCTCATCCCACACACCCACACACCCTCACACTCCCCCTCTCTCAGACACCCTCACATCTCCCCTCTCCCACACATTCTCACACTCTCCCTCTCCACACACCCACACACTCCCCCTCTCCCACACACACCCCCTCTCTCACACACCCACACCCTCACACTCCCCCTCTCCCACACATTCCCTCTTGTCTCATATACCTTCACACTCCACACTCCCTCTCATTCCACACACACATTTCCTCACACCCACACAATTCCTCTCATTCCACACACCTACCCACTCTCATCTGACACGCACACTCCCTCATTCCACACACCCTCACACCCACACACTCCCTCACACTCATACTCCTTTATACCCACACTCCTTCATTCCATACACTGACACACTCCTCATTCCTTACACACTCACACCCACACGACTCCCTCACACTCAAACACTCCCCTCTGCTTCCCACACATTCTCTGGTTGCACAGTGCCTCACACCCACACACTCTCACACCCACACAATCACACCCACACACTCTCACACCCACCCACACTCCTGCACATTTTCCTGTGAGGGAGACACATGGACACATTTCCTTTTTTGACCTTTTGATCATCTTCTCTGGAGAGATGTCTGTTCGAGTTCTTTCTTAAGTTGTGCTGTTTACATCGTAGTTCTTCACCTGGTCTGGAATTGAATTGCTTGTGCCAGCAAATAAAGTCTTGATAAAACCCAAGCAGGCTGTACACGGTTTTATTTTCTTCCAAGGTCCGCAGAGCCCAGGGTTCCTGACGGTGGATGGGATGGCGCCTGTGTGTGTGGGTGCTGGGCTCCGGGCATCCCCATCTTCCCAAGCCAGCCATCTTCCACCTGAACCCAGCGGGGGTGGGGTGCCCCTTTGGGCAGAGCGTCTGGGAGCTGAGGGAGGACCTGGCAGGTGGGTGGGGACCAGGCCTCTAGGGAGATGGGAGACGGAAGCAGCAGTCAGCTCGGCAGCTACTTCAGAGGAGTTGTGGGAAACAATGCGTTGCCCGCCCCCAGGCCCCAGGCCGGCCCCCAGCCTGGCCTCCCAAGCTGCAGCTGCGCCCTTCCGGAAAGGTCTTTGTCCTTTGGGGGCCTTGGGGCCAAGTTCCTCAGGGCCCAGGCGCCTAGATTCTTCCAAACAAAAGCAGGGGCGGGGCCCTCTGAGCTGGGCAGGGCCCGCCTGGGATCTGCCAGGGATCTCCTGCTGCCTCCAGGGTCCCCAGCTGGAGGAGGCCCACACCCTTCAGCCCCCCACCCTGTCTGACTCATGAGCCCTGCTGGAGGGCAAACACAGAAGCCCCTGGAGTGTGTGCCCCTTTCCCTGGCCCATTCCTCAGCCCTGGCCCCTTCCTCCCCCATTGGGACCCTCTGGGACCAACACTGGGAAAGCCCTGACACCTTCAAGCCAAGGCTGCAGAGGAGGTCCCCTGACCACTCCCGCCCGCAGAGTCCCT